AACTGAAATCGGCAAAAACCAACACCAAGATAATGACACCTACTGTCAGTCTGAATATGTCCTCTACAACACCACCTGCGGCATCTGCAAGTCACGGCATAGTCAATTCCGTAGGGAGTTCGACTATTTTTAATGCTGACCTCTTTAAACACACCACCACGCCTGGTATAAACACGCCTCTATGGACTCCCTCAGCAACCCCTATTAAGCCTAAGCATGTGCCTAAGTCAAAGGCAAATCCAATTGCTGTCACAGCCACTCGGACACCCAATAAATCCAGCACCAGTATAAAATGTTTCCCTCCACAATCGGCGAACAGTGCCTCAAATACCCCGACTCAAAACGTAGCGGGTTCGCAACTGCCCCCCAGCCCTCATATCAAGGCAGTTAGGCCGAATATGCCGTTTTTTCCACCGTTTAATAGACCTCTTGTTCCAATGGAAACAATGCGTCCCCCACCCCCTAACTTGTTTCCTCCACGGCCGTTTTACCAACTTATTCCTCATGATAATGTCCATACTGAATCAGTTAATTCATCCGATCCTCAGTTTCGTCCCGGCGGGAATACGTTGCAGTATCTGCCCCACGGATTTCCAGCTGAAAATAAGTTAGCTAACAATAGTTACCAGTTTACCTGCCCGTCATTCCCTCCCCCAAGTCCTACGCCTTTTTATCCACGTCAGAATTTTTTGATGCCACAAAATTTTTTGCAGAACAGGATGGTTGCATCCGGACCGTTTGCTCCGTGGGCAGCCCAGAACTGGGTGACGTAGCCCACCTCCCTCAAAAACTAACAGCCTTTCCCTTCAAACTTTTTGTTTTAAATGCCAGATCCTTGCTTAATAAGATGCCTTTGCTTCAGACTCAGGTGTTCGTCCATTGTCCTGATATTGTTTTAGTAACTGAGACGTGGGCATCAGCCTCAGTAGCCGACTCCGAACTCTCTCTTCTAGGCTACAATTGTATTCGAAATGATCGCCAAGATAGCCGTGGTGGGGGCAGCTGCGTCTACGTGAAGCAAACACTTACATGTTTGCCGTTGGACCTCCCGCACTTTTCAGCGGTAGAAGGCAGCTGCTGGCTCCAGGTTGCACTAAAAAAATAAGTTCTCCTTACTCGTTGGCTGCGTCTATCGCCCTCCCAACGCCAATGACAATTTTGATAGCTTACTCTCACATGCATTTCATGCTGCGGCCGACTTAAGCTTTAAGTATCAACTGGTTGCGGGTGACTTTAATCTCCCTGAAGTCCGCTGGTCTCCGCCTTCAGGCCCCAGAAGGTTCGATGACTTTCTTGAGGCTGTGGATGTCGGGATGTGGACTCAGGTTGTTGATTTTCCCACCCGAGGCTCAAGTATACTTGACTTAATTTTCTGTAGAGGCTGCCTGCCATCGTCAGTGTCATCCCTAGGCCCACTCGGGGGCTCAGACCATGACATAGTTGTTTCAACGTTGGAATTCGAGGCTGACGAAATGTCGTCCCAAAAGTATAACTTCTTCCGCAATTTCCGATCAACTCGCTCAACCGAATTATTAACACACCTTAATTCCTAGGACAGGACTGAGTTCTTCCTTAGTTAGGATGTAAATGTTTGCACTGCAAAACTGTACGAAATTTTGCGTCCGCTTATTTCTCGTTTTGTCCCCCGTAAGAAAATTATTAATGTTGGGGATGAGATTTTCCTACCTTTACCCTTTCGTCGCAGATTGCGCAGGCTTTATCGTCGTTTCCATCTGTAGGACGATGTTTCTGTTCTGCCCTTGATTTGTGATATTTTTGATCGAGCCAAGAGATTGTCTGAAGAAAAACAGCTAGCCGAAGAGGTCCACTTTACCGAAAACCATTCGTTAAGTGTCTCGAAACTTTTCTCTAGAAAAATACGAACTCAGAAAAAGACGCAGTATCCCATCCTTCGAGACGATCTCGGAAACCCCATAGTTGATACCCAGTTAACCGCGGATAGCTTCAATGATTTCCTGTCCAAAACGTTTATTGAAGACTCGACCACTCCGCTTCCGACCATCCAGTCATTGACCGGGGCAGTTCAAGAAACTATAACTTTCACTCTGTGGGATGTGACTGTTGCGATTCGGCGTTTTCGTCAATCTTATAGTCCAGGCCCTGATGGTGTCCCAGTAAGCATTTTAAAAGCCGATGCAAACACGATCTTCCCATCCCTCTTAAGCAAGATATTTAATCTTGCTCTTGAAAGTGAAACTTACCCTACCTTGTGGAAGGAATCACACATTTTGCCCATTCCTAAGCACGGCAAATCTACATCATTTGATGACTTTCGGCCAATAAACACCCTCCCTGCAGTTTCGA